GGGGGGGGGTGCTTTGATGTAATTAGATTTTCCCATGAGTCAAATAGACCCAACCATACAATGATGGTATGACCATGAGTATGAGGAAGTTAAACCAGTTAATAGAGGCTTTTGAGTTGAGAGATTTGATCTTGTTGCAAGCCAGATTCACTTGACCAACTTTTCAGTTTGAACCCCTTTGTTCTAAGTTGGATAGATTCTTTGTTCTCCTCAAAGTGGGAGAATAGCTGGAGGGTAGTGGTAGCTAGAGCCTTACCCAGACACACTCTGGACCATTGCCCTATTAGCCTAGCCCAAGAAAGGACAGGAGGTGGACCCTCACCTTTTAGGTTTGAAAACATGTGGCTTCTCCACCCAAGGTTTGTGAGAAAAGTGCAAGACTGGTAGCTTGAGAGTAAAGTGGAGTACAGGTAGAAGGGGTACAGGTTGTAATGTTGTATTTACTGAGTGGGCTTAACTGTTGGGACTATCGAGATATGTGTCATTCCTCCTGCCATTACTCTGCTTCTTCCATTTTCCAGAAGTGGGAAACTCTATGCGAAGGCAAAACTATGCATTGAGTCTCCTTGGAGGGTAACAAACTCTTCAAAGTTTGTTGAAAACTCTTCTAACTAGTTATGCTCGCTTCCTCCAGAATACAAATGCTGTGCATTTTGCCTGTACCTTCCCACCAACTCAACTTGATAAATCTCCCCCAACTATTTCAGTGGATTTGGAGAAGAAACACCCTACCGTTTTCCACTTGTTTTCATGATTATGCCAATCCACCGTCTAACTCACCTCTTCTTAGATTCAACCTCAACCAAGCTCCTCTTCCTCACATTGTTATCACTAGGTCTTCGAAACGGTTTGAATGCTTGAAATCAAACCTGAAGGTTTTGGATCCTATTGCTATCAACTGACGTCCCATTTTTTCTTTGACTCATCCTAATTTTCCTCGACTCATCCCATAGCATTAAAATTATTCTTAGGACGCGTGAGCAATTATTGTGTTCACTCTGCAAATTTTTACCTTTTATTGCTGTGTGTAGACTAGTAATGATTTATTAATTTTAAAATAAACAAAAGATATTTTTTTTCAAATACTTGAAGCCTTAGTTCTTGCAGATCTTAAATAGCAAAATTTCCATTAAAGAAGAAACAACAATACAACTAATATTTGATTCCTAATCTGAAAAAGAATGAACTGAAACTAAGATCATAAAACCAATTATACAAGTCTGCAGCAGTACCCCAAACCACAGCATGGACTTGTTGCCCCAGAGGACCATTATGGAAGCAGACATAAATAAACAGGTTGAAAATTTTTCACATGCTTGAATTGTTTGTGCTTAAAGCACTTTTGTACAATTCAGATATGTTTGCTCTCACTTCCAAATTTTCACTTTGAATATGTTTTAAATGTTTATGTATAGGTAGGGGCTATTACTTGGTATGATGGTAAAATCCTGGGCTGTCAAGCATGAGAACATGGATTCGAGTCTAAGAGCAGCTACATCATGATAAAAAAATTCCAATAGTTAGGGCCATATCCAGTCCACCCCTCCCAAGACCCCAGATAGATGCAACAGTAGTATTTTATTTTGAGACAATAGGCTTTTTAAAAGACTTAACTTCCAAGTATTGTTGTTTTTTTAATATTTTCAGAATTTTGCAGTTTTGCACCTTTCTTGAAAAAGGTTTGTGCCTCACTTTGTATTTTGTGCCTAGGACACTAAAATGCCCTTGCACTTCTCTTGCACTATGCGCATTTAAAACATTGTTGTGCCCTCAATTACATTATACTCTATATTGAAGGCTAATTATGTACCATCTACGATCAATAACTATAACTAAGCACCCATCTGGCTAAAATAACACCCATGCAATCACCTGAAACACCAGGCAAACACCTAGTTCAGTTTAGTTTTGTAGCAAATACATGGAATGGTGCCTGTGCACCCTCCAAGAGAATGTTCCTTAACCCTACATCACAAATGACTTGATCTGGTTTTGACAATGTCAAGTCCAGAAAATAAAATCTGAGGTTCTGAACATTTGTCCCTTTGATTGCAGAAGGAAATTCTGAAACATCATCAGTTCACAGAAAGCAGAAAAATGCCTGAAATGTAAATGCATTTACTGATTCATTCTGCATATTCACAAAAGATAAGTGCAAGGTTTGATTAAACTTACTCATCATACACATTTGCCCAGTTATCAGCTGAACCATCCTCTAAAGCACCTTCACCAACTTGTCGCCCAAATTCATCTGCCCAGTCCTGAACATGCAACTTGGAGAATTCATCGATCCACTGATCATCAACAGATTCATGTTGAGCATGTTCGTTTGTGAACTCATTCACCCATCTATTAGTTCCATGAGAAAGCTGAAATACCACCGAAATTCAATGGATAATTTGAATAAAAAAGGGAGAGTTGGTAGCAAAAGTGGATCCACTTTTCAATCTTAATAGCATTTTCTCCAATTTTAGAAGAAGAAAACAGTTTGAATCCACACCATAACTACCAAAAGTTATATGAGAAAAAGACACTGCATTTGGACATAACATTTGATGGATGATTTGTCTATTCATGCCATTAACACAGAGAAAGAAAGCGTAGCAAGTAAATAAGTACACATTCTGTTGGCTTAGGATGTGGTAGAGCCTAGATCAGAATAGTCAATGGACTGGATATTGGTCCAACCCAACCCAGTCCAATATGAGTCCATTACAGATGGACCAGGTCCGTCCAATCCAACAAATACTTGGGACCATTCTGGACTGGTCAATTCAATTTATGGACCACCCAATTTGTTCAAATTGGTTTTAATTTAGATTGGATCCAACCCAAACCTGGTCCAGTGGCACCCGTACTCTTATCTTCTGTCAATGAACCGGATATTGGTTCAATCCAACCAAGTTCATTATAAATTCATTGCAGATGGACCAGGTCCAATCCAATCCAGTAAATACTTTGGACCATTAAGTCTGGACCTGGTCCAATTCAATATGTCTTATTGGTCCATCCAACCCATTCAAACTAATTTTGATTCAAATGGAGTCCAACCCAAACCCAGTCCATTGATACCCCTAGATCAGAAAGGCACTAGGCAATAAAAAAAGGAAATAGGTTTTAGGGCAGACACTAGCTGAGTGCCTGATGGGTAGGGAGAGCCTAGCAGCAAGAGAGTCAAGGGTAAGAGGAAACTTGAAAAAGGAATTTCATAAAGTACAAGGGAAGATGGTGAGGTGGTAGGGGATAAAGCAGTGATGTGATCTGTATGCTTAGGAGTGTCCTATTGGGTTTGTTTTGGGCTTCTTGCGGGGTGGATTTGTTCAGTAATTGTCTTCTTCCTTAGTTGAGTACCTGTGGATGGTGTTGTTGTGGTAGTCCTTGGGGCATTTTGTATTGTAGCTGGTACTCTGATATAGAGATTCTAGTTTAGTCAGTTGATGTGGTGCAGAGCGTGCAGGGTTAGTCCTATTTGAGTTCTCACATCATGTCCCTTGTCTATTCTTTTTATTTCCTTCCTTTTTTATTGAGGGGAGGGGGGACAGCCAGACTGGCCCATGTACTCCTTGTATAATCTTTTCTAAATAAATTTCATATTTATTACCAAAAGAACACTTGAATTAGAACTGACAACATAACTTAGTATTTACTTGCCTCATCACGTACAAATTGGTCAGCCCAAGAACTGGGAAGGCCATCATACTGACGTTCATATTCCTCAGCCCACTCACCCGAGGCAGATGGCCCAGCTGGCTTAACTTGATTATCATCAATGATAAGCTCACCACGGCTCATCTTTGATACAAATTGAAGGAATTTTGAATTCTGCATGACACAAAAGAGTGATATACATTTTGGTAAAAGCAACAAAAATGAAGAATAAATTTATCTAATGGAAGCATTTAGAGGCTCAAGGGCACCTGTAAAATGTGTCACCAGTGGGTGCCCTTTTTTGATAGGTAACACATAATTTTATTCAATAAAAAAAAAAGAAAAATCAAAACTATTCAATAAACCAGTGGGTGTTCTATTGAAAGAGACACTTTGATTGTGGTCGGTTCAATCACTAATTAGTTACATGCAGCATGGTTTTAAACATCACCTTTAATTCCACAAGTTTCAGATCTGTAACCCCTCAATAGTGGCACGCATTACAACAAAAAAAGTGCAATATGTACAAATTTTAGATAAAAAGAACAAGAATATAAAAACATGAAGGCATATGGACCTGAAATTTCTGATCATCATTTTGAGATAGAGTATGGGCAAGCATACGTGTCTGTTCCATTGCTGCTATACTTGAGATGTTTTTATCTCTCATTTGGCCCATTGACATCATTTGAGATTGTTCCTGCAAATGAAGTAAACCAATTTCAAGGATAAATGAGGTAATATATAAGATAGAAGGGATTAAATAATAATAACATACTTTGATTATTTATCTCCATGGAAATTAACTAACTCAACAAATTATACATTGTCATGACACTTGGTATTTTTATAATTTGTGCGGAAAAGGGGCAATATGGTTTTTTCATATTATTTTACATGTTAATATAAAAGGGGATATGGGGCGCCACCACATACCCATCATTCTGAATCTTTTCACTTCTCTCTTCTCTCTTGGCTGCACACTTCTCTAGGGCTTCTTTTGATAGAAAACATGGCATCAGAACATCTATCATAGAAAAGACTAGACTTTTTTCTTTCCCTTGACTGATTTTGTTCCCTTATTACTGCAAGGAGTTGAAGGGCTTGATTCAGATCTGATCAACCTCTTTTTTTTTTATTTTTATCTTTCTTTCATTCTCTCTTAGTTTCGGGGTTACTTTCCTCGTAACTGAAGCATGTGAAGAACTGTTGGTGTTCTGCAAGAGTGTTCTACTCGTGATCACTGTAATGGTTGGTTTGACCTGGGCGGCTGCTGTTAGGCTGTAGAAAGGTATGGTAAGTGTGTCAATTGCTTCTTCCAATGCAAAACAGTATCTCTAATAATGGTGCTTGAAAGGTTGGTGATTGTTGGAAGGAAAATGTGCAGTATACATGGCAGCAGCATGGCAGGTGTTTGCTATTATTCTCCACTCAGCACTCAGCAGTAGTGTTGGACTCCTAATCAAGTTATTATACAGTCATGGCCTCATGGGACTATTTGGAGTACTCGTTACTGCATTTGGCTGGTTGTTGGTGATTGAAAATCATGTCATCAGAAGACTCAATCACCACAGTATCCTCTGGGAGTGCATTATTATCTAATAATGGAATGGATACGGGATACCATGGGATTTCCTATGTCTATTGTTCCTCTTGATGGTCTCAATACTTGGAGTGGTCCAAGGCTGTGAAGATGTTTATTGGAGGAAGAGGGAAATTGGTGTATCTCATGGAAAAGACCAAGGAACCTAGTAGTGAAGGATCTGTACATGAGAAGTAGGAACAATAGACCTGATAATGTCATGGCTGGTTTCTACCATACAACCTGCCCTTCGAAAGAACTTCATGTGGACTAAAACAGTCAAGAAAATATAGGACCAAGCCAAAGTCTACATGTGCTGAACAGAGGCACTTTGCTCAGGTCTACCAACTCCAAGTGGAGTCATTTTCTTGAAAACAAGGTGATAAAAGCCTTGCAGCCTATTATTCCACTCTTACATCTATGTGGAAGGAGTTAGACATTACCAAACCATAGATTGGTAGGGCCCCGCATTGGCGGAAGCCTCATGCACTAGGCTGCCCTTTGTTAGATTTGAAGGACTAAGAAGTTGCTTCAGCCTACAGTAAGTTGGTCTTCAGCAGTATGTATTTGCTATCTTAGCAGGTCTGAACTTAGTTTATGAGCCTATGTGGGTTCAGATTTTTGGGGAAACAGAGTTGCCTGAGATACAAGAAGTTTATATCTTAGTCCAATCAGAGGAGAACAGGAGGGCAGCTATGAATCCTCCCAAAGGTGAGCAGGTTGTGTTATTATCTAAGGCTGAGAGAAGAATGAATTGCAAAGGAGGACTGTGATGATAGGGATAAATTGTGGTGCAGTCTTTGTAAGAAGAACAAATACACCAAGGAAAGTTGTTGGGATCTGATTGGTAGACCCAAGAAATTTCAAGGGAAGCAAGGGAAGAAGTTCATGCAGTTCATGTGGCTTCCACCACTTCTAATCAAGAAAGCCAACAGCAACGAAGCCAAAGTACTCCATCTCCAGGACAACCTATGGGATCTTACCCAAGGAGGATATCCCAAGTACCATGCTTGATCAGTTTGAACAGTTGGGGCATTCACTTAGGCACTTAGAAGAAAAGCCTATTACACATTCTACATCATTTGCTGCAAGCTCAGGTAACCAAGCCCATGCACTTCATGTCTCCTTTGTTGCCTCGTAGTCTCCTTGAATCATTGATTCAGGAGCAACTAATATGGACTTGTTTGGGCTTGCCTTGAGGGGCTTGATACAAAGGTGGCTCGTAGAATCAAGAACGCAAAATGTTTAACATCACATTAACTATTTGAACTAATGGATAGATCCAAGGCTCCAGGTCCAGATGGCTTTACAATGGGTTTTTATCAAAGATTGTTGGGAGGTGTTGAAAGAGGATTTAGTTGAAGTCTTTAAGGAATTTGCAAACAATCATGTAATAAACCCTGGAATCAATGCCACTTTTTTGGCCTTGATACCTAAGAAGACTGATGCCAACCACCCAAAAGATTATAGGCCTATTAGTCTAGTGACAAGCATCTATAAAATTCGGGCTAAAGTGCTTTCGTTGAGGATCAAAACAGTTCTCCCTTATATCATTAGTGAAACCCAGGGGGCCTTCATTCAAAGGCGACAAATAACAGATCAAATCCTAATTGCGAATGAGTGTGTGGAGGAAATGAAAAGGTCTAGGAAGAGAGGTTTCATTTGTAAAATGAATCTTGAAAAGGCCTATGACTTGGTGGACTGGGAGTTTTTATTAAAGGTGATGCGAAACTTTGGATTTGGAGACAAGTGGTGTAGTTGGATATCTAGGTGTATCAGTACCTGTCAGTACTCTATTCTGGTAAATGGTATGGTAAGGGACTTTTTTCCAGCTTGCAGGGGTGTCAGGCAAGGGGATCCACTCTCACCCTTCCTTTTTACCTTAGTAGCTGATGTGATTAGTAGGATCATTACTAAGGCTGACAGTGAAGATGCCATTAGGGGTTGGAGAATGGGGAGACACCAAGTCCCAGTCACCCACTTTCAATTTGTAGATGACCTAATGTTCTTTTGTGAAAGAGGTTTTAGCGAAAAGGTAGCAAACCTAAAGGAGCTAATCAAAGGATTTGAAAGGATTTCTAATCTGAAAATAAATTTGGAAAAGAGTTGCATAGCAAGTATAAACTTGGAGGTAGGGGAGGTCGAGGCTATTGTGGAGTGTCTTGAGTGCTCCATCTCTACTTGGCCTATGTCATACTTAGGGCTTCCATTAGGGGCAAATCCTAGAGAGAGTAGATTTTGGACCCCAGTGACAGAAAAGTTTGAGAAGAGATTAGCCTCGTGGAAGAGAAATTATATCTCTTTAGGAAGGAGAATTACCTTAATAAGAGCTACCTTGGCTAACTTGCCTACCTATTTTTTGTCTGTCTTTAGGATACCAGTTAGGGAAGCTAGGAAGCTGGAGAAGTTAATGAGAGATTTCCTGTGGGAAATAGGACACGAAAAAAAAGGATCATTCGGTTAATTGGGAAATTGTGTGCAGAAAGAAGTAAAGAAGAGGGGGGGTTGAGACTTGGGAGGGTGATTGGAAAAAATCAAGCTCTGTTAGGGAAATGGTTGTGGTGATGGCCATTGGAAAGTGAGAGGCTATGGCATGAGGTGGTGGGAAGCATTCATGGGAGTTTAGAGAATGGATGGGATGCTAGTGTATCAAGGCAGGCTAACTTGGCAGCACCTTGGAAGGCCATTCACAACACCCTCAATTCCTCAATTTTATCAGGTATGAAGTTTGTTCTGGCAACGCTGTTCGTTTTTGGGAGGATATCTGGGTAAGAGACAACCCCTTAAAGGACCTTATCCCTTCGCTATTTTCTGTTTCTTTGTATAAAAAAGTGGTGGTCTCAAAATTTGTCTCACCATTGGGAACACCCTTAGCTCCTAATTGGGATTTTGGGTTTCGTAGAAGACTAAGGGATGATGAAATTGAATCTCTCTCTATCTTGCTATGTTGTCTTAATTAGGTTTGCTTGGATCCCTCCATGACAAATAAAAGGGTGTGGACTCCTAGACCCAATGGAACCTTTACTTGTGCTTCTTTCTTCAAGTCCATCTCTCAACATTCTACTCAACAACCCTTTCCATCAAAGAAATTTGGTGCAGACCAGTTCCCCCAAAGATTATGGCGTTTTGTTAGGAAGTATTCCATGGGAAAGTAAACACTCCAGATAACCTACAAAAGAGAAGACCATTCCTCTGTATTTCTCCCAATCGGTGTATCCTCTGTAGAGCTCACGATGAGGATTGTTACCACCTACTAATATCTTGTCCCTTTTCTACAAACCTTTGGGCTTGGCTACTTTCGTTGTTCGGGAGTAGTTGGAGTCTACCAACAGAAGTTCGCATGCTCTTCAACCATTCTACTTTCTTTTGGCCTACAAAAAGAGGGACTTATGTGGAGATGTGCTCGCGCTGCCCTGATTTGGACTCTTTGGGAAGAAAGGAATGCTAGAATTTTTCAAGAAAAGGAAAGGAGCAGTCAGGAATTGAAAGACTGCGTGCTCAATAGGGCAATACCTTGGCTGAAGACTTTGGAAATATTTCATCAATTCTCTTTTAATGACCTTTGGAGAAATTGATCAGCAGTAGTGAGGTGTTCACCCCTAAAGGACAAATCAATTACAAGCTGGTCTCCTCCATCTGAAGGCTCACTGAAGTTAAACTTTGATGGAAGTAGCATAGGTAATCCAGGATTATTCGGAATGGGGGTGTTTTGAGAAATGAGAAGGGAGAGATTTTGTTGCTCTACTCAGGTCCCTTAGGAGTTGGGGACTCTATCAGGGCAGAGCTATTAGCTGTTGTACAAGGGGTGCAATTTGCAAACCAGCTGGGGGTACAACACCTAATAATCGAAGGGGATTTCAAAGTGGTGGTGGGTTGGTTGAAAAATCCTGAAGATACCATATGGCGCTACAAGAATGTAATGAAGAAATTCAATTGGTTGACAAAGAATATGTTGGTCACAGTACAGTGGGTGGGGAGATCAACAAATACTTTGTCAGATGTCTTAGTCAAGCAAGGGGTAAATAGGGAAGAATTGTTTTGGACTCAGCTGTGATTCCTGTATTTCTTTCCTAGTTTACTTGTAAGATTCAAGGAGGGGCTGCAGCTCGCGCCTCTCCCTGGGATGTTGTATGAATTCACAAAGTCTAAATCAGCTTCTGAATTAATAAATTTATTATTATTCATCAAAAAAATATGTTTTATATGTTTAATTATTTTTAAATTTTCATTTTTATTTTGGTTCACATGTTATGTTTATGTACTTTAATTTGAGAGAATAGGTTTTTCTAAAACATTTATTTTAAAATGTAAGCTTATATTTCTAGTTAATATGATGTTTAATATTTTAATTTTTTTGCATTTTTAGGCATTTTTTTTGCATTTTCTCACCTTGCTTCAAAAAGGCATGCACCTGCCCCTTGCACCTCGGGCACAAAATGCCCCTTACGCTTTTAAAACATTGTTTCCAAAGAGATAAAGTTAAACTTGCTAATGGTTCACTATCCAATATTGCTGGCCAAGGAGTTGTCTCTCTACCCATGGGTTTGTCTCTTCCTAATGTCCTCCATGTTCCTAGTATGCCCATAAACATTCTCTCCATTAATTGCATTACCAAGTCTTTGAACTACTCGTTAACTTTTCATCTTGACCCATGAATTGACTTTGGAGAAGATGATCGGTAAAGGATGTATGGCTTAAAATCTCTACATCCCAGATTCAATGCCTACCTATAAGGCATCAAAGAACAATAGTTGTTTAAGCCAATCGAACCCATCCTATAGTTATTGTAATAAAGAGCAGATTTATTACAAATTTTGATTTGTGCTACTTTTCAATTAAGGAAACATTATAAAAACTCATATCCACCTATTAATAAAAGGTTCAATTTTCCCCTTCAAATTGTGCATTATGATGTTTGGGGTCCATCTTTAATTGAGGTAAAAAGAGAATATGGATATTTTATTACTTTTATTGATTATTATTCTTGAATCTCGATATATATGGATCTATATGCTATGATCTTGAGATATAGTTCTGGAAATCATAAAAAAAATAAAAAATCCACCGGATGGTGTTTACTCAATTTCACGTTGAGTCCCAGATACTACAATCAAACAATGCTAAGGAGTATTTCAACAAATATGTTACTAGATATCTAGAAGAAAATGGTGTGCTACATCATAGTTCTTGCCCTCAAACACGACAACGAAATGGTATGGCCCAAAAGAAAGAACAAATATTTGTTAGAGGTTGCTAGCAGTTTACTTTTCCAAATGCATGTAACTGAACATTTCTAGGTTGATTGTGTTCTCACAACAATCTATCTATCAACCACATGTTGTGTCTCCCCTGTTGCAGTATAAGGCCCCAAATCAGTTGTTTTTCCCATCCTCTTCCTTATTATCTTTTCCTGATCATGTTTTTGGTTGTCAATGTGTTGTACAGAACAAATCTCCTTTTGGTAAGTTGGATCTTCGATCTATTCCTTGTATCTTTCTTGGTTATGCTTCACCACAAAAGGGTTATAAATGTTATGATGCTATGTCCAAAAAGGTATATATCTATATGGATGTTACACTGAGTCCCATTCCTTCTTCCCTCCCTCACCTCAAGGGGAGAATAGTAGTGGTAGGTGAGTCAAGTCCAAGTCCCTATCCCTCTGCCTACTCTAGTCTCTCAAGTTTTGCAAGTCAATACTTGTCACACTTGGCACAAGAAGGGTCAGCTATTGGGTGCAAGGGTGGAACCAGAGGCGGAAACTTCAGTGCCATCAAATTTCCATGAGGTAGATCCTCACACCAGTCTTCTTTCAAGTACTCACATCAATCCTCCTTCAGGTACCTCTGAACCTATTCCCAGAGATCTTGATTTACCTATTACTGTTTGTAAGGGTGTGTAGTCCTGTATCAAGCACCCAATTGCTCTGTTTTTTTTCTTTTTGATCAATAACTGCAGAAATTTTATTAACATAAAAGGTAAAGATAGATGTAGATAGTACAAATTACAACACAATGTCAATGAGAGACAAAAACTCCTTTCTCTCCCCTACAAAATTCTTGTCTTAAAGCTGTGCCCAAAAAAGTGTTTCCCTTTCCACCCCTTGCTTGTCTAATCCATCTGATATGGAATTAGCACAGATTTTTACCCACTGAATCTTCATTTCCATGTCTTTTGGTATCCATTTAAACTTCTTTTTTTGACTGTTGTATATCCACATCCACAGATCATCACATTGTAGCCAGCTCACCACCACCAATTTAGGTCTCCCTCTACAACTAATCTTCTAATGTTCAACAATCTTGCTCTCTGCATTCCTTCCATCAACCCTATTGCTCATTTTACTGCCATTGCTTCATTGTCTCTTTCCTATTGTACTTTTGTCTCTACTATTAGTAATATCTCTATTCCAAAAAGTGTTGCAAAAACCTTGAAATTACCCAAATAAGAAAACAATGTGTGAAGAGATTCATGCCCATCACAAAAATCACACATGGGATATTGTTGATCCTCTAAGGGGAAAGAAACCATTTTTTAAAGAAACATGCCGATTGTAAATAGGTGTTCGCTATGAAGTATCATGCAAATGGCTAAGTAGAGAGATACAAAGAAAGGTTAATGGCAAAGGGGCTTTCTCAAATGCATGGCGTTGACTATATAATGAAACCTTTGCCCCAACTGTTAAAACAACATAGGAATTCTTATCATTGGCTGCCAATTTTTCAATTGCCTCTTCATCAGTTGGATGTAAAAAATGCCTTGAATGGAGATTTAGAGAAGTGTTTATGATTCAGCCACCAGGTTTTCAAATCCAGGGCAATGAAGAGAAAGCATGTCTCTTGAAGAAATCATTATATGACCTTAAACAATCTATTAGGGCACGGTTTAGGAGATTTAACAAGGCCATGCAACTGGTAGGGTTTGAAGTATCTTTTTTGTATTGAAGCTATGGGGTCAAAAGGGTATTTTTATCTCCCAAAGGAAGTACATTCTACACTTAATCAAGTGCAGACGCTGAGAACCATGACATGGTACAAGGTGTAGCTGAGCTTTTATGGTTCAAAAAATCTTCTAAGTTGGGACTCCAAAATTCAGGTCCTATGTCTCTATATTGTGACAACTAGGCAGTTATTAGCATTGCCCACACCCAATTCTCCATGAGATAACCCAACATATAAAAGTTAACAAATAAATCATTCATGAGAATGTGGAAAAAGAGGAAACTTGCATCCCTTTTGTTGGCTCAAAAGAGCAACTTGTAGATGTATGTACAAAGAGTGTTACCACCTTGCAACATGAAGAGTTATGCATCAAGTTGGGCATGTATGACATATATAGCCCAACTTTACGGGGAATGTTGTGATAATTAGTTTTTTATTAATATGTCTAGAAACAGGGGCAATATTGTAATTCCAATATTATTTTACATCCTGATATAAAAGGGGATATGGGGCACCACCACATACCCATCATTATGATTCTTTTCACTTCTCTCTTGACTGTGCAATTCTCTAGGGTTTCTCCTGATAGATAACAAGCACATTTAAAGAGAAGGAAATTATCAATATGTGGTTAGAGACATACATACATACATGATACATCTATATGGATAGATTGGTTGATAGATAGCTATAGATATATCCCTGTTGGCTTTGCCAGCCAAATCATTAGTAAAGAAGATTAAAGAACCCATGAACCTTCTAAATAACAATTACTTTAGGCCTAGAAGGAATTCCCATGTCCATCTCGCGCTCCTTAATCATGCAATAAGTTCTAGTTTAAAAGAACCTCCTGCATGTCTAATATAAAGCCTTAGTTTATATCCATCTTTCACATTTAAAAACGTTATGTTCAGACGGATATTATAAATTGGGCAAAACTCCAATAAAAGGTTAGCTATAAGAATGACAAAAAAACAAGAAAATAGACACATAGCCATCTAGAGGGTCCTCTATACAATGTGACAGTAGGCATTGACCAAAGGGTTCCTCCTTGTGGCAGAAATAGGTGGAGCATCTCGGGAGATTCTTTAATATATTAAGACACATAAGCGAAAAGCCAGTCTGACCAGCAAGAGACTTGGCCGAGGATAACCTTTTTACCACTACTTCAAGTGCTTATTCAGAGGACCAAGAAAATGTTGTTAATCCTATATGTGGGGGTGCAATTTGGGTGGACTCAGGTTGGGATTTTGTTAAAATTTGAATAGGCCCAGCTCAGAAGCCCGGGCCTGATGTAGTGTAAAATCCTTATATCGGATACCCAACTTACACCCTTACCTATATGATATAGGCAACAAAAGTTGTAGTTCCACATTTGCCTCTAACAGGTAATAGTCAGAGGTTGTCAAATCAGCCCAATGGCATCCATGATTAACCTGATATTGAGTGGCATATCAAGTAAGATAGGAGTAATTGCTCAAATTAAATAGGCTCAACAAATGTCCCCTCACCTGCTCAAATTCAGAGGCCCAACCATTAATGCCATGTTGTCGTTCAAATGAGTGAGCCCAAGTTTCAGGGTCACCATGTTCTGGTCTTTGTTGGCCATATTCAGAAACCCATCTATCTGCTGTATGAGACGGTCCAGGTCTGACAGCATGTTGGGACTCATTCCAGTATTCCTCCAGCTCTCGGAACTTACCTGCTAGAGGCCCCTTAGCTCGAAGATCATAATCGATATCTAAAGAATGTAATAGCGCATTCACCTGAGAAAGGAAATAAACTGAAATGAATACCAAAGTGCTGTTAAGCAAATTAAGGTTAAAAGAAACATGAAGAAACATAAAAGACAGAAATTCCTAAAAACAGACCAAATCCTCACAAGCAGATTAAATAATCACATAAAACAACTAACGTTCAAGAGACTACCTCCACTATGAAGTCCACTCTATTGTTTCACAAATTACAATTTAACTCATCCAAGTGAAAACCTTGCCGATCAAAAAAGAAATGACACAGAAACATAACATAGAGCTACTTCAACATCAGATGCCCACTGCTGTATATAAGACCCCAACAAGTTGGAACCAGCATTGGGTGAGCAAAGTAGTGACTCATCTCTATGAACAATGTCAAGGTCATATAGCTCCATGATCGGTAATGGAGGATTATGGGAGAAAGAGAGCTTCTCTTTGTCAGGTGGTGGTATCAGATGTTACAATGTTGCAGCAATGTTTAGACCTTCAATTTTGCTTGGTAGGTTGTTTTATTAACTCAAATTTAGATCTAAAACAAGTAGCAGAATGAGCAATATATAAATGGAAAACTACTAAACAGGTGGACTTTAGAAAGTTGGGCAGAGGACCATTTTATTTATTTGTTCCTGTAAAGAAGCAGATAATATTCTGGGGAAGGAGTTAAAGCATTGGTGTTATATTGAGCTAAGGACTGCTGCTAAGGACTGCTTGTTGGACTCCATCAGTTAGGACACTAAATCAAATAATTTCAAAGAGGTAAGATGATAAGATCCATCTTGGGGCCACCCTTCATAGAGCTAACATTTGTGGGTACTGGGTGGATTATAAGAAATCAGACTGATGATTAAGGGAGAAGATCTTGATGCTAGATTGGATTTAGAGTGTTCCCTCTAATCAGAAGATAGTCACATAGCTGGTTTTGTTGTTGTAAGGGAGGTGTAGTGATTGGATCATTTCAGTTGCAGGCAGGACACATGCAGACAGAAATGGAGGGTCAGGTTGGGAGGTTGAAGAAAAAATCAAAAAGTTAGGGATGTTTTTGGTACTATATTATGAGTTTTTATGAAAGTAAAAGTGGCCTGTTCATTTAAAAAGAGAAAGGTGGAGGCCCACTGAAAAGAGGCAGCACCATGGAACACATTGGGAAGGTAGTAGCATAGTTGTCAAGGTAACACCTAGGCGACTAGGCGGTTTTCCATGGTCGCCTCGCCCAAACGCCACGGATTTTGTATACTAGGCGCCCACCCAGAGACTTAAGCAGGCACCTACATACATCTAAGATTTTTTTTTTAATTTATTATTTTGATATTTTATTCTTTTAAAATAAAACCGGTTACATGCTATCATTTTATTATTAAGACAACAATACAAAGCCTTTTTCTTTTATTTATGCATAACATAAGGGTTTTTTCGGTTCGATTGGAGAAGGAGGAGAAACGAAGACTTCTTCTTCCATCCCAGCTTCAGTCATTTTTTTGCTTTTTATTCGAAAAAACAGGGGCTCTGCCCCTATACTTATCCCTTCCTCCACAGCTCCACTCATTCTTCTTTCGCCCCTGATTGTTCTCAGTCACTAGTCCTAGTCTCAGTCCCTTTTTTTTTTTTGAAAAAACAGGGGCTCCGCCTCTATACTCCTCTCCGCCCCTAACTGTTCTCAGTTGATAATCTCAGTCCCTTTTTTTTCTGAAAAAACAGGGGCATATACTCCTCCCTGCCCCTAATCCCCCATACTTCCTCTTCTTCTTCCACCCCTATACTCCTCTCCTCCCTTCCTAGTTCCTGCACTTTTTTTTTCAGTTAATAGTTAGTGTACATGCTTGCTAGTTAGTGTACATGCTTGCCAGTTATATGAAATTTATACTCATTTGAATGATTTATAGAGTTAATAGTTAGTGAACATGCTTGCTAGTTAGCACACAAAACCAATAAAATAGCTTAGAAAAGCATAGATAAAGTAAAAACTCAAGAAAATTAACATTTTAATATTCCAACACCTAGGCGACGCCTAGGCGCCTGGGCACCCTGTGGTCGCCTCGCCTTGGTGCCTTGAAAACTATGGGTAGTAGGTTACTTTTTAGCTTGGAATTCTATGGATAAGATGGGTATATAAGTCACAAAAGACAAAAGATCAGATTGGTATTAACTATGGGAGAACTAAGGATCATAAAGAGGTTTTTAGCGATAGATGAATTTGAAACAGGTCAAGGGCTTCCAAGCAGAAATCGGTAGAAATGGTGGCAATCCTGGTCCTTCAAGAATTGGGGGAATGATAAGGGATAAGGGTGGTACTATTTGTGCTTTGTATTCAGGTCCTATAGAACAAGGTGATTCAGTAAGGGCAGAACTTCTGGCAGCAGATTTTGATGCACAAAAAACTAAAGAAATAGGGATTGTAAGGTTGGTAATTGAAGATGTAGAGATGTAAAACAATAATGTGGTCCCCACTGCTGCATGTCTATCTATATTGCTGTTAGTATGTTAGCTGGATTAGTTGGTAGTTATTTTCTGTTATTTATAGCTTATATAAGCAGTAGGGGTAATACTGGTTTTTTACATTGTTTTAAATCATTAATATAAATAATTGAGTGGGGCGACAATCTCAGTTATGACCCACACTATTCTCCTCTTCTCCTCCTCTTCTTCTCCTCTTCTTCTTTTATTCTCTGCATTATTTCTTGTTCAATTCAGATCTAAACTAAGACTGGTTGCAGTCTTACTAGACAACTAAGGAAATTTGAAGATAGTAGTAGGGTGGCTGAAGAAAAGTAAGGTAGTGGTTTGGCAATTTCAAAATGAAATCAAACACTTCAAGTGTCTCTCAAAAGGTCTGAATATTCAAATAAGATGGGTAAGAAGGTCAGCTAATTGTTTGGTGGATGGTTTGGCTAACAAGGAATTCATAAACAGAAAATGTATTGGGCACAATTGTAAAAGGGGGTGGGATGTGTTTGCTTTGAAACGGGTTTTTCAGTTTTTCACAAACTATTGTTGTAACCTCTTTTTATTTCAAGCAATTAATGAATGATTTTCTGTGCTGTTGATCCAAAAAAAAGAAAGAAATAAGTAGAAATGGTGTAGACAACAGTGATGGATCGAGTCTCAATGAGTATTGGTGGATGGAGACTCTATGTCCACCCAAGTGAATAGGCTATTAGGAGTACAGAGCTGAAAACAGTGAGAGAGCAGGTTATTTGCTGGCTCCGATGGTGAAGATCATGAAACTAAATGAGAAAGTTTTGCTTGAAGTAGATATTTAAGGTAGGAGCCATTGCTTAGTGTAATGGTAAAATCTCAACTTACCAGAACGAGAACATAGTTTGTACAAAAAAACGCCAAACATTAGGTATGTATCCAGTTCACCCCTTCCAAGACCCCATATGGCAGGTACCAACATTGGATAATGGCCTTTTAGATATTTAAGGTACCTTGGAAGGTGTGAATTTGCTTTGTTCTCAGGTGACGGTGAAGGGTGATATCAATCCTAGGATAGAGGAGCTTCATCAAGGTAGGCAAGTTGAGTTCTAGCAAGTCAAAGGACACTAAAGAAGATTGTTCAAAGAACATCTCATTTTTGCTTATCAGTGTCCAGGGTATTTGCCAGCCATGGTACATGTAGAAAATCAAACAGAGATACAGGTAAATCTCTTGATTGTTTGACTACAGACATACAGGTAAATCTCTTGATTGTTTGACTACAGACATACAGGTAAATCTCTTGATTGTTTGACTACTTCAGTAGTGGATCAAAAAGTGAGTAGAGGCCAGTGACAGTTGGCTACAACAGGTGAAGATGTTCTACAAGTAGAAGATGGTTATATATATTCCTTCTGAAACAAATAGGGATGAGGGCATTGCCAGTAGGGCTGTTCATCAAACCGATGAAACCGACCAACCAGACCCAATCCAACCCAAGTTGTTTGGTTTTCTAATTATTTTGGTCAGTTACAGTTTAGCTTTTTTGCTAATACGAGAGGTCGGCTCAGTTTTGGTTTGATCATTTCAAACTGACTAAAACCGAACCGCCCCAACCATAGATGTATATTAACATTTTATATTTTAAATTTATATTTTTTTAATATGAGAATGTGAGAAAATTCCCATATTTCCTAGTTTAAAATATTTTATATTGCAATTTTTCATTTTTTTTAAATTCACTTTTAATAATACCATTAAAATTCTTTAAATTTAAATTTAATTTTTTTACTTTAAATTTTTTGAACCAACTAACCAAATCAAAAACCCACCCAAACCGATACAACCCAAGTTGGCCGATTTTCATCATTGGTCAGTCAGTTTCAGGTGACTAACTCCCCGACCCAGCCAGGTTAGTTCGGTTGGCCAAATAGCCAGGAACAAAACCAAACCAACCCGTGAACACCCCTAACTGCCAGTAGTGGAGTTGCTAGGATAGGATCTATGTTCTGTTTGTGTGAGGATGGCACACAGGCATTTGGTTGTGGCTTTACTGTGTCATAGGGGTGAATCCACTAAGAGATGACAACTAATTAGGTCACATCTTTTGATGTTTACAAGACTGAAGTCCAGTTGTCACAGGGACGTGGAGGGGTTTTGTTGTTAAAAGAATGCTCTCTAATCAAGGGCAATAACATTGGTATTGTTAGATGGGTAAAGGGACCAAAAAATGCTCATTTAATTCAATATGACAAAGTGTTTTACAGATTGAAAATGGCCTATGTACAAAAGGAGAGAATTGGACAATACCTTTTGTTCAGGTCACCAGGACAAGCCAAAGCATTCCAAGAGGTTACTTCATCTAATTCATAAAAAAAAAGAGGTTACTCCATTTAGTTTTTTTTTTTTTTTTTATGAGTAGCTGTGAAAATTCAAACAGTGAGAAAGAAACCCTCTTTATCTCTCCACAAAAAACTTTCCTTAATCTTACAATTGTGCCCAAAAAAAGTTGATCCCTTTCCACCCTTGTTTAGATAGAGTATTGGCCAAGGAGCTAGCACTTCTTTTGACTCATTGTATCCTAACTTCAATATTTT